CTCATGGAGTACCTGTCTAATGATTTGGGTTCACTGAAAGAAAGGGGCACTATGTCAAAGCAGAAACTAGCACTGTTGGGCTGAGCCTGTGTCCTGACTTCAGAGAAGAACACAGAGAAGCCCTGTGTTGGCTGAAGTCATTTGATAAGATGATCAAACTCCTGAATTTCACCTGCTCACATTCTGGGATGGTTCTATAAAGCTGGAATGATTGGCGTTAAGTGCCAGAGCAATGCTGGGTACCTTTCTGCCAGCTCATACCCAAAGCAGTCTTTTCCTTGTCTCCCCATGGAAGAGAGCTGCAGTGGTGACCCAGTAATGGGGGGTGGGAAGGAGGAGGAGCAGTAACTCGAAAAAGGAGGGAAAGGGCACCTTCTGAGTGTGTCAGAGAAACAGGCTCTCGGAAGGTGAGTCCTAACGTTTTGTGTTCTTCATTCTTCAGGTGTGGAAATAACTTCTGTGCAACTCATCGCTATGCAGAGACTCACACCTGCACCTACGATTACAAGAGCGCGGGGCGGAGGTACTTGCAGGAGACTAATCCCATCGTTAGTGCACCAAAGCTTCCCAAAATCTAACTATGGTTGTGCTGCATGTGGCTGCGCTGCCATGGCGGAATTGTATTACATTGAGAGAAGCAGCATTTGCTTCGACTGCATTTATTTTGCCCTGCTCCATATCTAAAGATTTGCCAAGTAACAAAAGCACATGAGGATGCATCTGATTGAAGAATAATGTGAACACTACTGTAGCTGACACCTTTATTCTTTAGTGAATCAAAAGTTTAAAAAGTAGTTTTTAAAAACTTACACTATGATTTTAACTGTTCTTGCACGTCTTGTGTTAAGTGTTTTATATCTGAAAATGCTATTTCACTAGACAAGTCTTTAAAAGATGCACTTTACTAAGTTTCATATTTACTGTATAACCAGACTTGAGGGGGTGCTGTAATGAGGGTGTCATGTAATGTCTCTGTACTCTACCTTGTGTTTTGTCCATTGTGTGGTATCTTAAGTTATTTCACTAGGAAGTCTCCCCCTTACTTCGAACCACCTGTCCAGAGCTTCAGAGAGTGTGGTACTTTCTGCACTTCTGTTCCGTTCAGTTTGGCATTCATATACTGTGTATCCATTCTGCAAATAACATATCATGGTAATCACACTATTTCTTAAAATACTACTCTTTATATGGCAGTTTTTTTAAATAGAGAATTCCCTTTGTTGCCATTAAATACAAGGAACAACTTATTTTAACTTTTTTTGTAATCCTAGATTTTTTAAAACTTCACAACTTGGTTTGTTAAGATGTTGAGTGCTGTTACCAGAAGAAATTCTAATAAATATTAAATTTTATTCTGGTTTGCATGCGCTTATCATAAACTCATACTAACTTTTAATATTTTACAGGGTGCTGGAAGGGAAGGGAGGGTTCTCAGAAGCTTACAGCATTGCCCTACCTCTGTTCTCATTGAAATAAGTGGTAAAACTCCCCTTTACTGGGAATAGCTAGGCCAAAATAGAGCGTATTGAAAGTCTCTCTGTCTTGCAAACAAGCCAGTCAAACCAAGCAAATCTGGGTGTTACCAATCTTCAGCAGATGTTTAACACACCACGCAATATTGTTGGCAGCCTTTACCATCTTATGCCAACATCACACTGGGTCAGCTTGGTACTTGTATGGGAGACCTCCAAGGAACACACAGGTGCTGCAGAAAGTAGTGTTAGAGCATCACCTACTGAAACCATTTCTTCTTCTACTCATTAAGTATTAAAGCATCCCAGTCTGGTCGGGGGACAATGCTACTAGATGTTGCCTGATTTAGGAGGTTAATAATATCAATTTGGATAGTGTGGGTTTTAGGCTCGCCAGTCTGTCTGATCAGAAGATAAAAAGGTTCTTGTCCTGAATGGGGCTCCACAGAATTTACAAAGGACAGGAAGCTCATACTGAGACAGATACAGCCTTAAAGACTTTTTATTAAGATAAATGAAACAGTAATTAAATAGTAAAATAATCAGAGTTACAAAGTTACATTTGTATTACTGCTATTCAAAAGATATAGATGGTATTATATGCTACAAAGCTTTGGTGAATATACTCATACCCTTCCTTGATAACTTGGTGTTGAGAGACACAGGACCAGCCTCGCCTCAGGCCGTTCAGGTTCCTCAATTCTTCAGTGAGAGGTGCAAAGCTTAGAAGAAGCTAGAGCCAAGAGCTATTGAAGCTAGCTTAGAGTTTACTAAACTACCTTAAATTTAAAATCAAAACCTAATACACAAAACTAAGAACAAAAGCATAGGGAAACCAAGCTTAGCCTAGTCCCCATGGAACTTAGAAAGTTTTAAGAAAAACAAGTACAGGCTCTCTAGCAAGGCCCTCTTTTATAGGGCACAGGTGTCTGAACCCTCCTCCTATGCCCAAACTTCATTTCTCACCCACAAAAATGTTAGGGTTCACTTACTCCATAGGCTAGTATGTTCGTATGTATTGATGACATGTACATACATATTAATGACATTGGATCATACACTCACGTTATTTTTGTTCTCCCGGTTATTTCGTTTTTTTCCTTGTGGTGTACCTGTTAAGTTTGAGGATACAGACTTGGAAACCCCCTATGCCATTCTACCATTATCTATCTATCTAGGTGAAAGATCCCAGGCATAGATATACTAACTTTGCCTTAGCTCAACATACAGAATATGGCCTGTAAGTTCCTTGCATTACTATCAAACTTACTTTAATATAACTCTCTAAACCTATTACAATAAACCAAATACTTAAACTATAAGAAAAGATTATATAAAAATGCAAGCAAGCAGGTTAATCCCATAGCTACATAGAGGAGCCCTATTATGAATATGTTTTAAAACTCCACTCCCAGCCATGTTTGGCCATTACCATGTCATGGCACATCTGAAGACACGGTGTTCGGCAGACATGCAGCCAAGTTCTGACTTGGATAACTTGTCCACTCTGTCTTCTTCTAAATTCCCTCACTGACTAATTGGCTGTGGTATCCTTACCTCCTAAATGGTTGTGTAGTGTTACTGCTGTGAGTGGTAGTTCAATGGTGACTAAAGCTGAATCAAGAAAAACGGTGTTCCTGGTAGGAAGAGGGAAGCAGTTGAAGAGCTCGCTTTCTCTGTAACATTGCCCTTTATTGAGGGCACCTGCAGCCTCCCGGTCCTTCAGGATACCTAAATAGCAATGGCTATTTTAATAAATTTAAAAAAAAAAAGCCCAATCTCATTTATGGCTGTTCAGAAGGCCACAGTTGGGATGAAGGCACAGAATGGCAATAGTGACCCATGCATTTGACACCTCAAGGCTCAGTTATGGCCACACTCTAGTAAAAACATCGAGTATAAAATACAGCTGCCCCCTTCGTAGCAACACTAATCACTGTGAACACATCACCTTGGTGCTCTGCCATTTCCATTAAATACAGACTCCAAGTCGCCCTAATATTGAAAACTCTAATATTTCAATACACATCAACATGGCATTGAAGGCTTCTGCTAGGGATTGTGCTCTTGGTCTTTTAAACTTTATATTTTCTACTAAAAGGCATTGTAATCAAACTAATACAATCCCGGAAAAAGTTACGTTACGGGAAACAAAGTTGTACAGCTAAGTGACCACATCAGGAAATGCCCACATTAAGTTTGCATCTGCAACTGTCACTCTTCCCCTTTGTACCTGTGCATCATGCTAGTCTTAATTGCATGATCTTACTGTTTAGCAAATATAGTACATTTTCCTGATTTACATACCTATAGCTTCTAGTAATTTTTTCCAGTGTTGAATCTTTATTGATGTAGGTTTCTTGTACAATGTTTTACATTCTCCTTATTGTGAGCACTCTTCTGTATACACCCTTCTTTTAAACCAGCAGCATAGCCTTAAGTGCAATTAGCAGATAAAACCGTTAATTACAAAAAGTCTATATTCTTCCTGTGTTAGAATGTATGACGGATTGTTTACCATGTAAACTTTCATATAAGTGACTTGCACTTGACTACACCGAGTAGTACACAGTGCTCCACAACTGTTGTAGAGAAATGTTAGCTTTTGTATCTGAGTCTATTTGATCATGTAATTAGATTGTACTATAAAGCATTTACACAATGGCAGTTTACAGGTGACCTTGGCTTGTGCTCCTCCCCTTTTATTTTTGCCTGCTTTAGGGTTTTACCTAAGAACTATGAGGAATGCCAACGCTGCTCTAGGGATAGACTAGTGGTAAAAAGTAGTCTATCCCTATCTCATTTTCTATCCCTTGGGATGGAATTGCTCTGTCTCCTGCTACGATAGGCTTCAATAGTAGACAAGGTTTGAATTGTTAATGTAAAACACACACACGCAAAGAAACCTTTCCAACCTCCTTTATCCACTGTAAAGAAGCAAAGGGTTTGTTTCCTTACCTGGCATCCTCAACCCTCATAACGGAGAGCACTGACTGCTGTGGACGTGACTCGTGGCTTAGACCTGCTTGTGCCGTGACGAGTGAGGCAGTTTAGATGCCTGCTGGGCTATCTAAGCTCAATCGATGTTGGTGTAATTCTGAATCATGGTAAAGTTTGAAGGGAAAATTGTGGGGAGGCAGAGGAGACTCAGCTGATCAAAGGAGGAGGTTTTTCTGGCTGAGGGAGCTGATTGCGTGCACTGGCATGAATGAGCAAGCCTGCACCAACTTAGATTACTGCAGTTCAGCTTCAGGGTGAATTATGGCAATTGTTGCCTCCAATAATTGTATGAAGCCCTTGTGTGTGGATGTAAGGTGCTCTTTAATTGGCTGGAGTGTGGGCAGTAGGGACACTGAATGCAACTTCTCTAGTGTTGTTAAGGGCTAATTTAAAGACAATCTCGGAAACCAAAAACGTGACCGAAGTCAATGTAATTCGTTTCACAAAGAGGCGAACTTGGGCAGAGTCTTGGGAAATGAGTGCCCTGCAGGAAGGAACCACTGGGATCTATTGGTGATAGTATTTGTTTCTGGTGCAGAATTATAACTCTTCACTTTTTACAATGGAAAATTCTCTTAGCTGCAGCTTCTTGCTTCAGTTTCTAGAATATGTTTGGCACCTGTTATGCAGTTTTGAGTAAACCTGAATCCTGGGAAAGAATGTTCATTTGGCAGGAAGACTCAGAGATTGATTGCATGCATCTTTTTGAGTGATGCGTCTCTAAAAAATAAATTGTAGCACTGTTTGCTCAATGCTGAACTGAAGAAGTGAAAGTCTGTGCACATTTCTATACAGTCAATTGGAGGTACTTTCTGTACCCATTGCACTAGAAAAGGTGTAATTGCTTGTCTGATAATGTGGATTGTACTTGGTGCTTAATTTGTGACTGGGCTTTCCAGGGCTGAGCCCAGCAGTTCAGCGCCCCGGCGCCTCTGGGCTTGCTGTGTCAGTTATGAAAGTAAAAAAAAAAATTTAAAAAATGGCTTCAGCTCTGGCACCTAATTGCTTGAGCCCCGACACCTCTTGCATTACAAATTAAGCACTGTTTGTACTACAACAGCCAAGCACTGAGTATCTTCCTATCCTGGTCCTGTGGAAAATCATCTAGATGGTTGTGAGACAGCAAAGGCCACTAGATGTCAGTGATGTCACCCATATGAGAGCAGATGGAGGGATAAACTAGACTAGAGCCAAGTGCACCTCCAGACAGTGCAGATCGGTCTGTTTCTAGCAGTGCTTGCTCTGTTGCTGTTATGTATGGCCTGACTTAAAGCTAGTGGCTTTGCTTTTCTGCACCACCTCAGCCGAGAAGTGCAGATTCCTTTACTCATATTCCAGCCTTATTAGCTAAGGTAGCTCACTGCTCCATTTTCAGAGAGCAGATCTTCATCGTGCTCCTTCATTCCTTGGCTTACTATAGGGTGTGATCTGTCTTTTCCTTTTGGTGCCTCATGGATCTCAGGCAGGATATCCCCTCTGTTCTAGAGTTCTTCCACAGTGGGTTCAACAAAGGGTTCTCCACTAGCTTTCTGTAGGTCCAGCCCTCTCCCCTCGAACCCCCCAGTTGTCTGTAGGAGTGTTCCTGTGAAGTCCTACCCCAGTAACCAGTTTTCTTAAAGTGGTCTCTTACCTTAACACCCCACCCTTGCTAAGTATCTTGGCAATCTAGCTAAATGGATATTTGGATAGAGATAAGTGTTCAATTCCCAGCTTGTGCAATCTCCTACTGGGAATGTGATCTCGCTTAATAATAAGGGGTGTGAAAAAGGCAAAATTATTATCATCGGTCAGTAGAAGTGAATCTCCTGGTTTGTTGGTTCCCTGAGTAGTGCCCTTCTCCCTAAACCAAAATGTATTTTGATGGGGGAGTACTTTAGGAGGAGGAGGATCCATTTTTCTGTGGCCCATCTGGAGTTTGCCCTCTGTGTGAAATTACTGAAATGAGACAGCAGGGAGTGGTGCACATGCACTGCTAGAGAACAGGGAGGAGGGTTGCATGCTGCCAATAATGAGCTATACACTACAACTACACCTAGGAAATGGAGATTTTTGATAGCTTATAAGTCGGTCAGATCTGAACAGATGTACATGAAGCCAGCAAAAGGCACTTTCCTGACATCAGGACAATTCCTCCAAATTTCAAAGTCCTTCTGCAAACGGTGGAGGTGTGAATTTCTTAAAAAAAATGATTGCAGGAATTTTTATAATGGAAAATGATAGGCTGCCTTAATGAGAGTTGCTTCTACTCACCATCTATGATGAAGTGACAATGTTCTTAATGTGTTCTTTGAATACTGCGTGGGGAGTATTGACCTGGGAAGGTTGCAGGGGAGTTTTGCTGGGACTGTCTGCAAGGGGGATGGGAGACTTTCCCTGAGGGAGGATACCTGAGCACATAACAGGAGAACCCAGGAAGGGGGTTGGAGGCCAGGTGACACCTCTGCCCAGGAAACTGGACAGAGGCTGGGGGAGGAGCCGGGGGAGAGGCTGAGTGAGGGGTGGAGGGAGTTTCAGTTTGGAGCTGGCTGGAGAAATGGAGAGGAGCCCAGATGGGCTCTGGTCTCCCAACGGGGCTCTGGCCTCCCTTCCCCCCTCCCACCCCCCACCCCCGATGGACCTAACTGAGGGGGTCCTGTTTGTCTGTACCTGCAAGACCTGTCTTGGATTGTGTTCCTGTCATCTAAATAAACCTTCTGTTTTGCTGGCTGAGAGTCATGGTGAATCGCAGGCAGCTGGGGTGTAGGGCCTTGTCTTCCCCCACACTCCGTGACACCATCTAATAACTATTAGTATTACAGTGTTGCCCAGCACTTCCATTGCTCTAGGTGCTGTATAAGCACACACAAGAGACACTCCCTGCACCAAAGAGTTTACAATCTAAACAGACAAGATAAAGGAAGTATTGTTATCCCCATTTTATAGCTGGAGAACAGGTTAATTTTGCATGGAGACTAGCAGAGCTGGGAATTGAGGCCAGATCACCCAAATCTACTTCAGTGCCTTTTAATCACAATATTATCCTTATTCCTGTTGTCCTGGTGAAAAGAAAAAGTTACACCACGATCTAACAGCTGAAGTTGAAGGTGGCCTAATTCAGACTGGAAGTAAGGCATAAATTGTTAACAGGGACAGTAATTAATCATTGGAACCATTTACCACAGGTTGTGGTTGATTATCCATTACTGACAATTCTTAAATCAAGATTGGATGTTTTTTCTATAAGATCCACAGATTCCAAGGCCAGAAGAGACCGTTGTGATCAGATAGTCTGACCACCTGCTTAACACAGGCCAGAGCTTTCGCCCCAAATCATTCCTCGAGCAGATCTTTTAGAAAAACAAGTCCCTTCTGGACTTGGAACCTATGGTGTTACGACTAAAGGAGCTTTACAACGAAAGGAAAGTATTTTAAAATATACTCCTGGGCCATCTTTCAAATCTATTTTCTAATCCTCTCCTTAATCCAGGCCTCAGCATTGCACTATTACACACCATTGCATTGGGATTATACACTCTAATCACAACTGCACAATGAATACTTGATGTAATTAGATGCTCTCTCTGCATAGAATCAGAAATTTAAAACAATACCTAATCGCCAAAACTATTTGAACTGCTTGGGATTTGATTAGGGGGTTAATGGGTTGGAAGCCAGATGCAAAGGTGACTAAAAGGAAGAATCCAGGGTTTCAAACATCCTTTTTTTTCCCTTCTGCCCCCCCCCTCCTCTTTTTTAAACAAAACACCATGATTTTAGAATAAAGGGGCAATTCTCCTTCTTTGTTCCCC